AAAAAAAAAAAAAAAAAAGAAAGCTGGCAACTCTATTCACGCCAGCTTTAGGTGACGCCTGATTACCACAAGAGTTTCAGCGGAGTGACTACTCCATCGTAATTTGGGTCGCATCCAATCGCTACTCATAGGCCGCGACGGTCCTGGCCGCCGTGGACGTCGGGCTGAACGCCTTCCGTCCAGTGGGAAGGATATTTCTGTCCCCGTGCGACCGTCAACGCTACCGCTACATCCCACAACCCTCTCTCCCCGCTGCCGCCACTTAGACCGTTTACCGCACCGGACGAGATGCTCCACTCCGCCCGCCTGCTTACACATAAGACCCCCTTTGCTCCAACGTCTTCTGTGCACCTGAACCACCGCTTTTCTATCCCACGAAAATCTCCGTCATGTCGAGTATACACCGAGAACAGAACTTCTGCGAGTGCCTAAACTACTATGTTCGAGCGCGCGGACCTGACGACGTCCGAGTTACAACTGCTGGTGGAAGTGGGATACTGGCTCCCGGCACTCATTCACGGCGGAGGGATGTGCGCGCAGATGGCCACCTTGAAGAGACTGGTGGCATAATCCAGTTGGTTTCCCTACCGGCCGGACTACCGCATCGAATCATACTTGTTCACCCTGATCTTCTAAGCACCTTCGGATACTCGCGAGGACAAAGCCTAGGGACACTAGGTGACCCTGATTTCTATTTGCAGCTGGCGGATTGGCTGCTCGCGTACGTATCATAGGCGCGGTGGCGATCTTGTGCTGAATCTTCCGCAGTTGCCTCCCCATCCTCTCGGGATCAATACCACAAAAAGGCGCCATAGTCCGGATAGAGATAATAGACGGAGAGGAGACTATGGCGCCTTCGCCCGCCTCCGGAGAAGCTACCCTGTCTCTCGAAAAGAAGATGGTGGATGGGGACATGCTAGGCAAAGAAGGGAAGGCTGAATGTTCGATATGTATGGTCAATGTGGAGTTGGGTAGCGAAGTGACCGTCCTTCCATGCAATCACTGGTTTCACGGTGACTGCGTGACAAGATGGCTGAAACAACGCGACAGTTGCCCTCACTGCCGGAAACCCATAACCAAACCGGAAGATCGAGC